TTCACAATTTTGAGGAAGAAAAGAAAGCGCATCCCCTCTCTGTTCCTGAGCTCTCGACAATGATGAACGCGATTGGCCACTCTCATCCGTTTTTGGGTTCAATGCTGAGGCTACTGCTGTGTGTGGGGTTCATTGGTTGTTTCAGAATCAGTGAAGTGCTCGCCCTGAGATGGAATGATGTGAAATTGGTGCAAGAAGAACAGTTCAAGTATGTGTCGGTCAGATTGCGTTGGCACAAGAAAGCACAAGTATCAGAAGAGTCTCAAGTGTACAATTTGATTGACGAGCTGGCATTTCCTTGTTTGCGAGTATGTGCTTTCTACGAGGAGTACCTGGCTATGATTCGGCGAGCTTCAATGAATGTGCATGGTGAAGCGTTTGTTTTCCCAAGTTACACAATCGCAAAAGATAATGTTCCACGGCTTGATTGGACACGGCCACTTGACCAAAATACCCTGCGGCAAACTATGCATGGTGTCGTTGAAAAGGAGCCGAGTCTCCCGATTGGTGTGTCACTACATAGCCTACGTCGTGGTGGTGCTTTCTTTCGAGTCTTTGAGTCCCAGGAACGTCGGTTTGACTTCCGAGAGCTTATGGCGTGGTGTCGGTGGACAGATGCTTCTACATGTTGCGAGTACTTGTTGTCGAAGAGTATAAGTAGCGGCATCGACCCAAGAAACCTGCTGCGTCTCAATCGCGTGAACGACAAGGTCACAATCAAAAACGATGCAAAATCTACTGTGGGAGTGTCTGTGGATGAAATTTGCAACAAGTTGGCGGCTGTTCTACAAGGCTCTACTCTAAATACACGCAGAGATGCAGTCAATCAACCCAAAAAGATCCACAAGCAGCAAACTGTTGACCATTTTGTGCTGCCAAAGGCTATTCCCACGGCTTGGTGTGCTCGTGACGCGTGGGAGCAGTGGTTTGTTGCAAACCCTGCAAATGGTCTTCCCTGTGCTTTGAAAGACTTCACGAGGAGCATGATCCAAGCAGACCGCAAAAAATACTCTGAGCGTGTCACCTTAGCTGCGGCCTTCAAGCGATTCCACTCCTATGAGCAGTTTGAGTCCTCATATGCAGGATTTACCTCCTCTTACGCCAAGTTGTTGCGCGAGGTCAGGCGTAGAAAGCGTCTCAATAACTTGTAAATAATCCAATCACATTGCATGTACGAGCAATGTTAATAGCCAATTAGATTGTGTCTACCTGTCGTCGGATGGTCATGTCGGATCCGACCAATTATGCATACATGTCTATACATAAAAAATATATAGATATATTGGAATGTGTATCTTGGACGAATAAAAGAGATCGGTTTCACTGGGAAAGGCATTCGCTCTTGCCAAGCATGGAGAAGCGTGGAGTGCTGGGGATTGGTACACCCCTCGGCATCGCGCAAGCTCGTCCAGTTCTGCGTGCCTTTCTACTGTCCTCTTTCGGGTTGCCTGCAGCATGGTGATCGTGGAATGTGTTGCTAAATAATGTGCGGAAGCGTCATGATTGGACATCAATTCCTCCGTGATAAATAGTAGTATTAGGGTAGTATTTCTCAAGATCGTCCAACAAGTGGAAAAATATTTCTCACGATCGTCCAAGTGGAACGTTCATGAAGTATTCTTATTCCAATTCGACCATCGCGGCATGATTGGCTAAAAGTCTGACGAGATTAAAATCGTTGGAAGTCAGTCTGATGCCGGTTTTAGTCGTCTCCTTCCAGAATTTCAGCGGCTCCCTGCAATCACCGACCGCACCCGCCGTCTACGACGCCACACCGAGCGCGACAGCCCACCAAGCGGTATGAACTAGCAACTTTCGATGTACACCTGGTCCACCATGCCGGGCATGCCGCGTCTTCCGGCTCATGAGAATTTTAGCCAATCATGCCACGATGGACGATTTGGAATAAAAATACCTCACGTACGTTCAACCTGGACGATCGTGAGAAATATTTTTCCACTCGTTGGACGATCTTGAGAAATACCCTAAATATTATTGGCTGAAGTTATCATGACGATAATGGCCTCTGAAAATTTCATGCCATCGCTGCGCCGGGTTGCTTGGCTCATGCGCGCGTCCTTCTGTGTGCAGGTATGCGCAACGCGGTAGAATTCCTGTTGCAGTAGACGACACCACGATGCCACTTGTTGTCTGGTTTACAGCTGCATCATACAAACTCGAGGATGGGGCGATGCGTGCCAGCAGTTATGTGACAAAAACTCGAGTATCACTTTTCCATTTTGTATCACATTTTGTCGCCGAAAAGCGAAGAAAAAAGAACAAATTGATACAAAACACCACACCCAAAAGTGGGATAACGATAACTTCTAACGACCAAGTCACGGTTCCATTACCACTGCAGCACCGTTGGGAGGTACTTGGCGCCGAGGGACAGGTAATACGCCAAGCTCTCGTCGACGTCGATGGCGGCGAGGGCGTCTGCCGTCGGCACTTGGCGATCCGTGTGCAGTGCAAACAACTACACGGGCATGCATCACAATCACGTCATGAAGCAACTAGTCGTACCAGTTCCTTGACCGCCAAGTCTGCCGCCGACTCGACGTCGGGGTACGCATCGTGCACGTACCAGACTCGGCAGGAGAAGTATCGAATGACATCGGCAGCTTCGCGCGGCAACGTCGTGTGGTTCCCTTCAAGAACATGGTACAAGTATTCGTCGGGCGTCCACGGCATATTCACGTGTGCCATGCCCCGCTGTCCCTCTGTCGGCGGACGATGTGTTGAGTTGTCGGTGTTGAGGTCGTTCAAGTTGGCGTGCGCGATGGATTCTGGAATCGGCCTTCCCAGCACCCACGTGTCGGTGTGGCGGAGCCATTGGTCGTACGAGATGCCTCGCAGCGGCATTGCGTCGTCGTCTGTCCACAGGAGAAAGAGCATGCCGAGGCCGCGCCTACATTGCGTTGCTCATCGCACTGGTCCTGAACGAACAGAGGCTACATACAGGAACGTGGCGAGTTGCAACCAATCGGGGTGGCCATTCCGTCGAACCACGTCCGCGTCGTGCACCATGGATGCCAGCACTTTGCTCCCGCTAACCTGTCGAGTGCTTTCTCCGATGAGTTGCATGAGGGTCTGGCACGCTTCCACGAGGGTCATGCTGCCGTGGTGCAATGGATCGACCAAGCGCTTGCGCTGAGCCAACGCGAACGCCATTGTTTGGTGCTTTCGCATGATCTTGACGTGGAGTGGCGTTGGATTTGCTTTGTTGCACATGAGGTTGATGGCGTCGCCGTCCCACGCGACGGGGTCCTGCGAGATTGCAAGGCCGCCGTTGGACGGGTCAAGGCCGAGGAAGTTGCCGTGGAAGCTGCGCAGGGACACCCCGCCTCCCGTGGGATGCGGCAGCACGTCGAAAGTTTCCCAGGTTGAATTGACAAATCGGTCGGCGAGGACGGTTCCGACGGGTTCCACGCACAGAAACTTGCCGTAGGCGCTGCGCAAGCAAATCGTGCTGCCTTTACCGCTTCCGGTGGCCTCTGCCGGGTTGGCATCGGTCGCACCGTCGTCGAGCAGCAGGCTTTGCCAGAACACATCGCGTGACGCGCCCTTCGTCGTGTCGATCATCCCATCTTCGGTTGCAACAACGAACATCCCGTCCACGGTGCGCAGCGAGATCATGCAGAACGACTGGTTGCATGTCGGCTCGAGCGGGACAAACGGTTTGGCGGATAAGGACAGTGCCATCGGCACCTTGCGAAAGCTCTCCGTGTCGTTGTATAGAAACAAAATCTTGGCGTTCTGTTTGACGGAGAAGCCCCATTCCTCGTACAAGGACACGAGTTTGCGGTGCCTACGATGCGGTGGTCGAGTCATGACGACGAAGGGGCAGCGCAAGGATCACGCACCGGCGGGTGTCTTCTTCTGCTTCAAGACACAGTTCGTGGATGTTGCGCTGCTTCAATGTGGCCATGCACGCCAAGAACAGCACCTTTGACAATCCGAGGCGACGGTAGTTCGGATGGATGTCGATGACTTTGATGTGAGCAGAATTACCCGCTTCCAGCGTGAAGATGAGTTTGCCGACGGCACCGCGTCGGCCTTCCGTGAAAAGAACCCACTTGAGCTCTTTGGCCCTCGTATCTTCCATGAACTGCAGACGGAACGACACGCTGCCGTTGAGGACTTCCCGGACGTCGACCTTTTCCCCGATCGAGCCGGATCGACACCGCCGCGTGGAGAGTTCGCCGCAACTTGGGTCGGTCATGGCAGATGGAGCGCTGCTGTGGATTGATGGATTTCGCCACCGTCGTACCTCATTTTGTTGTTCCTGGAGGTGGCTACCTTTTCAACATAATAACCTTTAGCAATCCATATTCAGCACTTTTTGTGTCGTTGAGATGGCGTGGTCGGTTTGATGGATACGACATTGTCCCTCTATCAACGAATATTGTTAGAAACCGTATAATGCCGCCTTGAAAGAGAGTGTCCATGGCAATCCTGGTCATTTTCGATGTCTATTTCGGTCCAGCCAATCACCGTGTCGGATATCGCGAAGGCGTGCGTTTGATTGGCTCATATTGACAGTCAGGAAGTTTGGAATTCCGATTCCTCGACCAATCCGGTGTGGCTCTATACTCGTTTGCATGATACCTGCGTGTTCGACGGCGTGTCCATGCACGCACCCATGCGGGCGTGTTGGGACGGCATCGCACACACATGCGCCATCCATGAGATGAGCTGCAATGCGCCAGCGAACGTTCGCGCATGGACACACCGATCTGCCTGGTGAAAATCAGTACATGACGACGAGCCCAGTACCCAACCAAGGTTCTCTCACCGTTTCCCTAAGGAGCCTTGTTGCTGCCAACATTGTCCAGGTTTGGGACGAGTTGAGGCCTGGTCTTCCAGTGTACCTTGTCTGGACTCACCTTGCGTTCCTGTGGCCATTTGATGGATGTTTCCTCGACCATGAGGATCGCGCCCTTGGATGCTATCCACAGACGCTCGGGTTGCTTGCTTGCGTCACCGCTCTTGGCGCCGCCACTCCATTCCAAGAGTCAGCGCCACGTAGTGGACTCCTCATGCACATGATACAGATTGCTTTCCTGACAACCTCCGCCCAATGCATCAAATACAGCATGTAGGAGTTCCTTGATCGGTACAGGAGTAAAACAGGCACAGCGTTTGCAACGAATTGCGTTGAGGGCAAGCGAGACACGACGCACACGCCATACTGAGCATGGATTCTGTCGGGTCATAAATATACTCGTCTTTTGGCGACGCTGGCCGGAACATGTCGGCACTTTCAATTGCTTGTCTTCGTTGCCACTTCCAAGTCTTGAAAAGTGCACCAAATCGAAGTGCAAGCAAGGCCACGATCGTTCGCCTGACGACGGTCAAGGTCAGCAAGCGAAACCATCCGCATCACGATGTCACTTTCGTGACCTAGCAACTCGACCGAGGCCATGCGACCTCACATATAAAAATTTACCACGCTGGGACGAGGAGCGCAGATCATGCCGCGATCGTTGGTTCCTTGAACGTCTTGTACAGCTGTACATTGAAGTTCCAAGCGACGTTTGCCATGTTAACCAGGCATTCTATCCGGATCCGGATGTACGGACTTTGGGCCAAGTTCACCCTGTTCATTTCGACACGCAGCGCCGAACACGAAGCAAACTGGGGCAAAGATGGAGATAGAAGTCCAGACGTTGCACAGCATTCTTCTTCACACGTTCAGCACAGACGCGAGCGCGCGAAGTGCGGCTGAGGAAGCTGTCAACAAGCTTCACTTGGCGAGAGGATCCATCGTGCTGCTCGTCCAGCTTCTCTCGAGCGACGAGGTCCAGCGCGAAATTCGCCAAGCCGCAGCGATTTCGCTCAAGAATATTGTTCACCGTCATTGGGGCGCAGTGGAATGTGGTAGCAACTGCAGCGACGGCCACGGCGGCGCGAAACATGGGGCATCGGCATTTCCCGACGCAGACAAGGACGAGTACCGCAAATATATATTGGAGGGTCTGCTCACAGCCCAAGACAAGTCGATCCGAGCGCTACTTGTTGAATGTGTGAGCCTCATCGCGCGTCACGATTTTCCAGTGCGATTTGTTACTTTTCCCACTTGCATCATCTTCACGCGTCGTTTGTAGAATCAATGGCCGCTGCTGGTGGACAATATTTGCGCTGCGATCCAATCGAGCCACGCGCATCGCATCATCAATGTTTGTCGCCGCTGTTTGGATGCAAGACATTCACGACTCTTGTAGGCTCTCTTGGCTCTACGTAAACTGGTGAAATTGTACGAGTACAAACCGTCGCATGTACGTAAGAGCATGCGTTTGACTTGTGGTGAACAGCGGTCCCATAGCAACGCGACACACTGAACTCAATTGTGGTCGTGACGTTTCCAATGCTTCGCGAAATGCTGCATCAACTTGTGGGGTAGGTGGAGCAACTCGTAGGGATTACAGACCAACCTGACGTTTTGAACAGGAATATATCCGACGACGCTGGCCACATGGTGCACTTGATCGTGAAAACGTTCTGGTCGAGCGTTCAGTGCTCGCTGCCTCCGCACATGACGCTCGAAGAAATTGGGTCGTGGCTCGAACTGTTCAAGGCAGTGCTAACCAAGGCGTTGCCTGAGCCAATGCATGTGGACGGCGATGGCAACGCCAACGACGACGAAACTCGACGAAACCCGTGGTGGAAAGCAAAAAAGTGGACGCTCCAGGTCTTCTGTCGCTTCTACAATGTCTACGGCAACCCCAAGCACAGCAATTCGACGCCGGAGCTGAGCGGGTTTTTCCGTGGGCAAGTTGCACCGCATCTACTTGTGGCTGTGTTGGAAACGCTGAGCCTGCGGCCATCGGGGCGATATTGCCCCGATCGCATTGTTCAGCTCAGCATCATGTACCTTCAAGAAGCCATCATGTCGGCCATGGCGTACAAGCAGCTCCAGCCACACTTAGACTTTGTATTGTTCAAGGTGGTCCACCCGCTCTTTTGCTTGACGGAGGCCGACTTGGATTTATTTCACAACGATCCGCACGAGTACATTCGCCAATGCAGCGATGTCCTTGGCGAGTACTTGAACCCAGTGTTTGCCGCCGAGGGTCTTCTTGTGGAACTCTGCACAAAGCGTGGCAAGGACTGCGTCGTGAAAGTCTTGTCTTTCTACAATGACTTGCTCGTCCCAACTCCAGCAAATGAAGGCCAGTGGATCCAAAAGGAAGCGGCGTTGCACGCGTTGTGTGCACTGGACTCGTTCTTGACACTGTCGCCGCCGCATCAAGCACAAATGGAGTCGGTCATTTTGTCGCATGTTCTCCCAGCGTTTGAAAATCCCCGTGGGTACATGCGGTTGCGCGCCGTCAAGATGTTGTCTCGGAACTACATGACGAAACTCGTGTTTGCCGATTCAACCATGTCGCACGTTGTGAACTACCTGCTGCGGTGTCTTCAGGACCCAGAGTTGCCCGTGCGCATTGAAGCTGCAAAGAGCTTTCGCCACGTCGTCATGTACAATCATTCGACGGTGGTGCAGGATACCCTTCGCCCGCTGCTTCCCCAGGTTCTTGACCAGTTCTTTGTCATTATGGACGACATGGGGTTCGGGGACGAAGTCGTGCTGGCGCTGGATCAGTTGATCGATTCGTTTTGCGATGAAGTGGGGCCGTACGCTGTCCAATTGGTCGTCCGACTCACGCAGCGCTTTAAGCAATGCTTGGACAAGGATGAAGACGACGAGGACGCGTGCTTCACGGCGGCGTCGTGCCTCGACACGATCAACACGATACTCATGAGCATTTACAGTCAGTCCGAGCTGTTTGAGCCACTGATCGATGCGCTGTTGCCAACGCTCCATTTGATCTTGAGCACGGATGCCTACATGGACTTTGTCGAGTCGGCACTCGATATTGTCAAGTCAATTGCGTACTACAGCGCAGGGATCCACCCCAAGGTGTGGGCGTTGTTTCCAACATTGTTCCGCGGCGCCGATTTGTGGGGTTCCGAATACATGCATCAACTTGTCGTGGTTCTGTACTCGTTGATCGGTCGAGATGCAGTCGGGTTCGTCTCGGCGGTGTTTCAGGTCAACTTGCCCAACGGCACCACCAAGCGCATTCGCTATCTTGAGCTCGTGTACAACATGGTGCGCAGAATTCTGCACAAGGAACATGTGGACGACGAAGAGGTGTGGGGCGCGTGTGCAATCATCGAATGCATCTTCCACAACTGCGACGGTGTCGATGTGTTTATCCCTGCTGCGCTGCAACTGATCTGCTTTCGCATGAGCCGCACCCCCACGAACGAGCCCCGAATGCTGACACAGCTTCTCTCGGCCGTGTTGGCAGCCATGCGAAGCAACGCAGCGTTGACGCTCACCGCACTCGAAAAGATGAAGGTGCTGGAGCCCGTCGTGAAAGCTCTTGAGAAGAACGCGGAACTGCGCACCACACTGACCGAACAAAAGATATACGTTCTTGGAATCATGGCACTATTTGGTCGTCCCGCTGCCGAGTTGCCTCTTCCAGTCCAGGTAATTTGCGCACTTGAGTCCCACCCGGCAAATTCAAAAATGGGTTTTCCCGCGCCCAATTTGAGGAATGTTTGTGTAGGAGGCGCTGAAAATGCTTGTGGTCCAATCGGTCCAAATGCTGCATCGCATTGTAGCACGGTCACAACAGCAGGCTGCGCGCGAGGAGGCGGCGGCGGCGGCTCATGGAGGGAACGACGGGACATTGCCACCAATTGACAAGTCGCTCAAGGCGTTGATTCACAAGGGAGGGTACGATTCGGATGAAGATGCCGACTTGATCTTGCACGACGACGACTACACACATGTCCTGCATGACTTGAAGGTGCGGATCGCAACACTGAAACATGATGTTGATGCATGGCGCAGGGCAACGACGACGTCGACGAGGACGAGGACAAGGACTACTACAGCCGAATAGACAGTATCGACGAGATTGCGATTTTCCTGCAGACCATGCATGGTACTGTGGCATGTCATGACGATGATCGCGTGGGATGAGGTGGATTTGTAGGGATCAAGGACACTCAGCCGGCCACGTTTGAAGCGCTCGGCCTGGCAAACAACCAAGAGTTCTTCGACACGTGCGAGGTGACGAGGCGTCTGCATCGTCGTGATCAATCCATCGTGGTCATGCGCTTGTGGCTACGTAGGTTTTTTCTGTGGAATTGCAGCGTCGACAGGACGCCATCGCTCGCGACACTGTGGTGGGGACGGATGAAGGGTTGAATGTTCAATAAATATTACTTGGTCAATGCTGGGTTAGATAGCAATGCCACGCAGTACTTCGCGCGACAGAATGAGGTCGAGGTGGTCAGGGTGTGTGCACAGATGAGATAAATACGTTGACACCAGCATGAGTTGGCGCACCATGTCTGGAATGGATGGGAGGTCGATAAACTTGACCGATTTGGTCTTGGCGAGTGGCAGGAAAGCCGACATACGCTGAACAGCTTGCCGTTCGTAGTGCGAGTCGCCAATCGACACAATGTGGCGCTTGCGACCCGACATGTCACCAAAGAAATGCTTTGTGAGCTCCGAAGTGAAACACGCAACCTTCCATTCTTCAACGGGGTGGGAGCTTTCATACATGGCTCGAGCGGACACAATGCGAAATGACGCGACCAGAGGGTAGATCGCCAGCATGAAGCGTTTGCACGAGCGCTCGACCCAGTCGGCCTCACCGTTGGTGACAATCATGACCGTGCGGTTAGAATCGACGCAAGATTTGAGGAATGAGGCAACATGCTGCATCAGCAACTCCATGAGCTTTTGATCTTGGGCCGAGAGGGGTTCGTCGACGGTGTCGAGGGAATACCGCTGCTTTGACAGGTACGTGTTCGGGAACAACGTGTCATCCCAGTCGAGCAAAATCACAGTGGACGGGACGTTGTACGTCAGTGCGCGCAGCGGCTTCGACGGCACAGAGCCCATGCCTGCAGTCGTGAGGAGAGTCGTCGGGCCGTGCATGGCGCTCGTCCTGTGGCAGTGTTGTTGGCGACCAGTTGAATTCCCAACTGATCTTTGAGATGACCGTTCCGACCGAAATTCCGTACGCGAGGCAGCCAATCACAGACGTCGTTCTCAGTTGAAGTTCACTGGCCAATTGCAGTTGTGACGCTTGGCGGCGGGGGTAACCAACATTTCCACCAATCCGATTCCAATGAAATTGGAATTCGAAAAATAATGGTGTTGGATTGGATAGATCCACAGCCGAACAAACATTCCCACCAATCAGAGTGGCATACATCCCAGGCCCTACCTCGGCCACATCGCGCTCATCCTCGGGCACAACCCAATGGACGAGTCGCCACCGCTGGCGCCACGAGACTTCTCAGCTGCATGTCCCATCTCCCACCGCATGGGTAGCCTTGTATGTCGTTTCTCTCTCTGCTAGGCGAGTTCGCCCAGGACGCTAGTGGTGGAAACGTGGGAGGGAACGCTGTCTGCCGAATCGCTCCGTTGGACCGTGGCGGGGGGAAGGTTTTGCGGTTGGTTTCGTGATGTGGACATCCCACGACGACAAAGAACGGCGGGTGTGAAACCCGGGTGGTTGGCATGCCAACGCTTGGTCTCGGACCTACCATGTCGCCGACTGTCGTGCGTGCGTGTCGGCTGAACCAGGATATCACCGCCGAGTTCGCTGCTTCCAACGGGGTGGCTACTGCGAAATCCTTGGCTGGTGGCCACCTACGCCATAGATACTTCAAGGTGTGCATTACCATCAGCTACAAACTGTACACCATGGTCGTGCAAAGCCCCACTTGAGTGCTGACGCGTGGAGAAGGATCGACATAGCCGCGGCACCGGCGGCCCCCTGCGTCGTTTTTGTGTTTGCATCGCGTTGTTCTCCCAAGGACGGAGAAACTCAACTCAGAACGTGTCTGTGGCCTTTTTCATTGATGTTCAGGTGATTGGATTGGTAGAAAAAGTTGATTTCTGTAGCGTTTCATTGGCTGGTTGATTGAACACATCCGATTGGTCGACGTCGTTTCGGTCGCTGGATACAAGCACCACAACCCGGCGGTGTGCATGCAAGCAGGTGGACGATGCGACGAGGGCACCCCGAGGATAGTGTCCAGGCCAAGGCACGGACTGAGCACGCGACAAATCACAGCCAGCATGATGCACGGCAAGTTGTCACCTCGTGGGGCTTCAAGGCAACACGCCGTTGACGACATGATTCGGTTGACACCATGCCGAGTTCGTCCCGCCAACAATAACCACAGCTACGTGGAGGCAACATCCATAGCAAAGCTTGCGTCGCCTCGTAACATCAAGCACGTTCGGCTGGCGCATCTCGGAACGCATCACATCCTTCGCGAGTGGGCGGCGCGAGTGATTCAGGTGGGGTAACACCATTTTGAGCATCCAGTGCCGCGGGAAGTGATTGCCAACGATACATGCCACAGACGAGATACAGCCAATTTCACCGCGTTCAAGTACGCGCTAGGCGCCAAGCTGAAGCGACGAGAGCGAAACACCGCGCGATTGCATACGACATTATGGAGGCATTGGTTGGCGACTTCATCCGCGTCGAGTTCATTCCAGATATCCTCATCGACATATTCACGACGGGCCTGGACAAGTACACGGTACGTGCGCAAGTGAGGAAGTGCTGACACCGTTCATGTTAACAGCGCCTTCGTTTGTAGCCGCATCCCGTGGAAATTCGAGCCGCGCACCAGCTCTACGAGAGCATGTGCCGTGAAATCGTTGCGGTCGAAGTGCGGGAGATTGTCGTGGTATGTGCAATTCAACATGTATGTACATGCATTTGCACGACAGGCACACTTTGTCTAGGCAACCGTCGACCGCCTCGTGGCCGCGTATTTCACATCAACAGAGGAATCTACGCAAGCAACGACTCAACCTCCGTGGCAACGTCTTGTTGATTCGTTTATGGCCGAGTGGGTGCATCCTCTCCTGCACGAGATTGTCCTCGACGGTAGCGTTGCAGTCCGACGGGCGAGAATAGCACCAACAAAATGCCACAGGAGTGGACGAGTTGGTGACCCAGTACATGTCTGCGAAACAACATACCGCCATGTTTGACGCGTGGGTACAGCACATCCTTGCTGAGACTGCCACTACAGCCTTTCGTGAGATGCAACGGGAAGATGTACTTGATACAGTGTTGGACGAGGTTCTCATGTCGAATTGGCCACGTCTTTGTTGGGTGACACGAGCATTTTTTGATAGGTGATGTGCGGTGTCTTGAACGATATCGCGACGTCCGAAGTTGAGGCCGCCCGAGCTGCCAACGCTCAGCTCAACCGCGAAAGAGAGCGAAGATTGATTGCCCAGACAGCGTCCACGCACCTTCTTGACCATGCCATGCTTCGAGCTCTGCTGGAGTTGATTGCTTTGAAAGCTGATCGCTTGGCCTTCAAGGTAATCACTCTCTGCCCATTTCCTCCACGAGCTGAGCTGTCCATAGGACTCTTGTGACCAATTCCTCAAGACGCTGATGCTCAAGCGTCTCTTGGCGATCCAGCAACAACAGGCCTCCCTTCAGACGGTGGTGCGATCCAGTGCCGTTCTGGTCGCGTGCCACAACCATTGCTTGCAAGCAAGTCTCGGGCACCTAGTGTCTACGTTACTAGGGGCTGGCCTAGATGAGTGGGAAGACCGAATACACTTGGAAGAGGTCAACTCAGACGCATCACAGCAAAATGCAACTTGACACTTTCGTTGATGCTGAGGCAGTGAGTTGCTAGCATGTTGCTCAGGATCCGTGGATAAGAGCAGCTACAACTGTTCCGGCAAGGTTCACGACGAGGGCGGTGTATCGTTGGTGCAGGCTATTGCCACAAGTTCTACGTTGGGCACTCCTCGGACATCTGAGGTGTGTGATAATTGTCGAGTTCAGAAGGCCGCTTATAAGAAAATCGCACTTAAAAAGCATGACTTGTTTAGTACGTGGCGCACTTTAACTTCATTTGCCCACTGATTGGTTTGGTACAACAACGACGAATGGCGTTGCGAGCGGCGGTGCGATCGTTCGCGGTAGCGCTCAAGCCACAGGCGGCAAGCTTCCATGCGCAGCGCTTTCACGTGCGCGAGATGAGCTTGTTCTCATCCATCAAAGACAACCTTACGGAACGCTTGGAAACGCGCAAAAACGAGAAGAGTGGTGAGAGGACTAACGACACCCCTGACCGCACCAATAACACGTACGTTGTTTGCAGTCCAGGCCTACATCGATCAGATCACGTTCTTGGCCAACTCGAAGACGTACACCCTCCAGGATCACTTTGAGCAAATGAAGGTACCCGCCACGCTGTCCGGGCTGCAGTTGGTTTCACGACTTGGTGTAGAAACAAGCGGAATCTGGTGGCGTGACAGGGTGGAAGTCCATGATGCCGGGTGTGTCGTCGATGCCCCAGATCCAACAAATGAAGGCGAGCTTGCAAATCATGGAAGCTATGGAGCAAACCCATCGCGACAACCCGCAGCTGATCAACGGCAAGGTCAAGCGAATAGTCTCGGAGAAAGTGGGGCAGGTATGCCATTATACTTGCGGCCATGCGGCGTTCCCTCTCTCATATTGTTTCAAAGTCGCTGGAAGAGATCAACAACACGCTCCGATCGTACGAGCAGCTCAACTCTCTCCGACTGTGGCTGCGCAAGCGTGTCGAACGCGGGCTGCCGTTGCCGGACTCTCTGGACAGCACCACAGAAATGCTCCGGGAAGACCCCACGGGGTTCCCGACCAAGAACTTGCGGTATGTTTTTGCGTAGCGCTTAATCGCACGCGAATGTGCATATAACTCGTGCATGCTGTAGCCCCAAGCGCCGCCGTTAGAACTGTTGGGCTCGGGATTATCTCGGATATTGCAACGGCATGCCTCTGCTGTTCACGGCCATTTTCAACTGCAGCAATAATGAGGATAACACTGTGCATGTTGCGTTCTCGTTTCGCTAATGACGCCAACGTCGTCTATCTGCATTTGCTGTGCATGACACTAAACCCATATCCATTTGTATGCAGCAGTCTCGTCGCGAGAGTTGCCATCCAGCAGGATCACGGCCGCACCGCATCGTAGAAATGGCGTCGCTGCGACTCTCTCGGCGGAGGCAACCTCACTGGGACCGGCGGGAGTCTGTCTGTCCTCGTGGTCCTTCGTTCTCAAAACATGGCATTCATAACATTCGCTTGAAATGGGCATAGCAGAAAATTTGTGTTTTTTTTCAAATATGCAATTTTCGTTTCAATTTCAGCGAATATATCTGGCGGTACAGTATTTATGTCAGAATAAAATGGCGAAAACGACAATGTCAACCGACAACGTATAGTATACGCTTACTATACGTATAAATTTCGTTTACTATACGTATAGTAAACGTATACTAGGCGTGAAGTAGACACACACGGCAAGTCCCTCAACTTGTACACGAATGTATTCATATCACAACAGGTTAATGCGCTTCCTACGTCTAACCTCATGTAGCAGCCTAGAGTAAGAATGCGTGAAACCTGCATATGCCTTCTCAAACTCATCGAAACCATTGTAGCGGGTGAATGCAAAAGAGAGCGTCTTCCGCTCAGAATACCGCTTTCGGTCCGCTCTGACCATATCGTTGGTGAAGTCCTTCAATGCACGCCACTGACCCTTGGTAGGATCCGCGAAAAACCACTGTTGCCACGCCTCAAGCCCCGATCTTGCTGTAGGTACAGTGCTCTTCTCAACAAATGTCTTCATGGTCATTTGAACAGTCTTGTCAC